GGCAACATATACCGTACTGCATTTTTTTGGGGGCCCTGCTGCCGTGGGGCTGCCATTCATGAATTTCACTGAGGGCCTTTGTTGGTCCCCCATTGGGCCTCCAAAACTTGCGGTGAGGAGCCCGTGGCCGATGTATGGGAAAGGTAGTGGTAATTTAAAACTTAAATAAAACTTACAAAGGATGAACTAAAAGGGATGCGGACTGCACGGTGCGGTGCTGGTGGGAGGAGGAGGAGAAGGCAGAAGAGGAGGAGGAGAAGGCAGAAGAGGAGGAGGAGGAGGTGGAAGAGGAGGAGGAGGAGAAGGGGGAGGAGGAGGAAGCAGAGGAGGCGGCGGAGGTGGAAGAGGAGGAGGAGAAGGGGGAGGAGGAGAAGGCAGAAAAGGAGGGGGAGGAGGAGGTGGAAGAGGAGGCGGCGGCGAAGGGGGAGGAGGAGGAGGCAGAGGTTTAGAGGGGTGATTGTGAAGGGCCTTATTTCTTATTTTTGGGGCGACCATTTGAGCCATCGTATGAATTGCTCATTTGGGCGATCCATATGTAAATAAAATTCAGATGTTGTAGGGCAAAAAAAAAAAAAGGTCCACAACAAGAAGGACCGACTATGGACGACTGTTGGACAACAATGCTGAAGTTCACAATGCTTGGCAACACGGCTCATAGTACTTTCATACAAAAGGAGGGCGAAGACCCCTCCTAAATAAATTTAAGATTCGAACGTATAGCTCTCTTTCAACAAGCAGTCCCTCTCCCAGCCATATTTTTCCAACGCGAAGCCGAACCAGCTGGATTAACAGGACTTGGCCTGCCGGACTCTGGAGAGGCCTTTGCCATTAGATATCCACAAAGGACGCCTTCGGAATGACTTGCAGAAATATATTTTTTTTTTTTTTAACTATGTTAGTAATTTACTATTTTTTGCACCCATGTTACCATGTACCTTTTTTTTGGGCGGGGAGGTGGGGGGGGGGGACGGGGGTGCAGGGAGCGCATGGCAGAAATCGGCATCGGCATAAACAGGCTCGGAGGGAGTGGTGGTTTAACATATTCCGCGCTGCACACACAGTCAGGTCAATGATCTGTATGTGGTCATCAAATGGCAGCTGAGGCCATCTGCACGAGTATCAGACCGCATTCCTAGGTTTTCTGCCCAGTGTTTTTGAAATTTGCCGCTCCAAAGTTTTATGTCCTGCGCATCCCACATATGTGCGCCGCTGGCGGTTCGACAAAACTTTAAATGCGTTGGTTTCGGGTATTCAATGCTTGCTTTGAAGTTTTGCCTTTCTTTTCTTTTTTTTTTTGTGTGTGTAAGTGTGTGTGTGTGTGTGGGGGGGGGGTGTGGGGGGGGTATCTTTGCTTTGTTTGATGGATAACTAAGGGTAATACTCCCCCGAGCACAATTGGTTGGTGTACATTGCACCCCACGTACTTGCCCCGAGCCTGGCATAGCACCTATACAGACTAATAACCTCGATAGCTCAGTGGGTAGAGCTCTGATATCGTAACCTGGAGGTCCTGGGTTCGACTCCAATATACAGAACACATAACACATAGGTGACATAGCTGATAGCTGACTAAAGGGGGTTGCAGGGGGGGATGGGCTGGAGGTTTCCCCTGGCAGGAATCGGCCCTGTGGCGAACTGGTGCGACGGTTACGGACCGATAACCCTGCCCCCTCGATATGGCATTTGCAGGGGTAGAAAATGGCCCCACGCTTAAAAAACACAATCTATAACTGATAGGCAACTGGGGTGCAAGGGGGGATGGCCCGGAGGTTTTCCCTGGCAGGAATCGTACCTGTGGCGAACTGGTGCGACGGTTACGGACCGATAACCTTGCCCCCGCAATATGAACTGGATAATGAACTATCCATGATGACAATACAAACCCCTAATACAAGGCAACAATAGGCTGTGCAAGGAACATGTCGCCCGGGTTGGGTCAGGGGCTGCCTTAGGTAAGACCTTGGTCAGGGTAGGACCAGTAGATTCTCTGCCTGCCCAACCCAGGGCTGGTGCTCATAAGGAAAGTGCAGATGACGATCATGCTTGGCGACCGAAGTGCCCCGCACGACAAGGCTCGTCCGATAGTGTGCTTCAACTAGGGCTGGGAGGGGTTGTCCTGGCCCAGCGCTGGTGCCTGCAATGCTCTCCGGTATACCCGAGGTGAGGGCCAACAGTTGCCCCCCTAGGTGGAGAAGTAGGGATTACACTAAGGAAGAAGAACGTTGCGGTAGGAATGGGGTGGGTCCTGTGAGCACCATAAAAAACAAAAACAAAACAAAGAAAAAAAAAAGAAAAAAAAAAGGAAAAAAAAGGGTAATGCTCAGTGTAGTTTTTATCTTTTTTTTTTTTTTTTTTTTTTTTTTTTTTTTTTTTTTTATTTTTTTTTTTTTTAAAAAAACCCCCTTTTTTTTTTTTTTTTTATTTTTTTTAAAAAAAAAAAAAAAAAAAAAAAAAAAGTGCACTTAAAGAGGAATGTGAACCCAAATTGCTTTGCTCCAGCAGAGGGGAAGTTGTGGAAGTGTAACTGTAGTACTGTCTTTCCCCCAATAGAATGCACTGTCAGTTTAGCTGCATCTGGTCCACCTTTCAGTCCAGATGCACTGGTGGGTATGCATTCAATTGGGGGGAAGATGGTGGGAAGTTTCAGTACAGGTGATCGTGCCGACAGGTGGAGTCGTAGATTGCATCAGGGGCTGACTGTCACCTTGCCCAAAATCTTGCCTCCAACCATGCCTGCACCTGGCCTTGGTGGTAGTCCAAGGGTCAACGTGTTTGTTAATTAGGTTTTGCTCTTGTACAGTAAGGTAGGACTCTCTCTAAGCACACGAGCAACCAAGTGTTTTTATTTTTTTTTGGTTCAACTTTTTGGGGTAACTTTTTGCTTTTTGCTTTTTGTTTTTGTTGTTGTTTTCGCTTTTTGGAACGACCGAGCATTTGTTTCGAAATGACTTTCTGACAGTTTCTGTAATCTTTTTTTTTTTTATCATTAATAGTAATTTAATACCAACGGGGTCCCACCACCGCTATTCAAGGTGGTATGAGCAGCCTCAAAACTGCACAAGAGTGGGTTCACCACCCCCATTATTATGATGGCTGCAATCTATATTGGTAGTGAGTTGCACCTGGTCGTACGAGCAGCCTCGAAATCCAAGAGTGGGCTCACACCCCCATTTTTATGATGGCTGCAATCTATTGGTAGGGATCTGCACCTGGCTGCAATCTATCGGTCGGGATCTGCACCTGGTCAAGACCAGGTTCATCACCCCACCTGGAACAAGGGATGGAGCAGAAATATATGGAGGGCGACCGCATTGATTACCCCTTCTTATCCCCTCTTACGAGGAAGCTCGGGGATTGGCCGTCTTCAAGTTCACGATTACAACGCCGGGCTGCATCAAAATGCATATTAGACTCCGTGTCAAGCTTTTACTGTCCCCTGCCACAGGAGCCTATCTCCTTAGCCGATGCCCGAACGAGTGATGAAGATCCTCCATGCCCCGGGCAGATAAAGATGGTATCACGGTACCAAGTAGTACTAAAATCACACCTGCCAATACCCCTGCCAGATAAAAATAGTACTTAGGAGTCAGGACGACTACCAAAAAAAAAACAAAAAACAAAAAAAGTACTACTACAATCAAACCCCCCATGCCCGTGCCAGGTGACGATGGGACTAAGTACTACTATGTAGTACACTAGCATCAACCCCCCATGGCCCTGCCAGATAAAGATGGTACTAAGTACTACCTTCTTCGGCCGAATACAACGTACAGTCATTATAGCTGTATTTGAGGCATCTTTCCGTCTAGATACAGCTTTAATGACCGTACGTTGTATTCGCCGAAGAAGGTAGTGGTAGTAAG